ACGCGCCGCCGCGGCCGCGTCGGCGGGCGCCTCGGCGTCCCGCGGCGGCGCGTCCTTGCGGTACTTGGCGAGGAACGCGCCCTTCTTGATCTCGAGGAAGTCGGCCTGGAGCGACGCGACGTCGAGCTTGACGTCGCCGACGAGGCGCCGCGTCGTCGCGTGCGTCCGCGCGACGGACTCGGCCTTGTTGCCCGCGGACTCGGCGGCGGCGGCGGCGGCCTGGACGGCCTCGCCGAGCTTGGCGATGCGGGGCTCCGCGAGGTTGACGCGCGCCGTGACCTCGGCGGCCATCTGCGCCGTGTCGCCCTGCTTCTTCGCGAGGCGCTCGAGGTCCTGCTCGAGCGCCGCGCCCATGTAGTTCTGCTCGCGGATGCGGCTCTCGAGCGCCTCGGCGTCCGCGGCCGCGGACGCCGCCGCGGGCGGGCCGCCGGGCTTCGGGGCCGCCGCCGCCGCGAGCACGGGCGGCGCCGCGAGCGCCGCGGCGAAGGAGATGCGGTTCCGCGGCTTCGCCGCGGGCGGCGCCGCGGCCGCGCGGCCGAGCTCCGCGACGGGCTCGTCGTCGTCGTCCTCGCCTGGGCAGCAAAAGAGTGATTCAACGTCGCTTCAACGTGAGTGTTTCGCGCGCGCGCGTTCCAAAAAAGCATCCACGCTTCGAGACCGTTCCGAAAGATGATCGCTCGTCCAAAAATCAGCCGAAACGAGTGGAAAACGACCGAGATAGGAGCCTCTGAAGTTGGGAATTTCGCTCTCTTTTCCTGCCCTGGTCCTCGCCGTCGCTCTCGTCCTCGCGCATGGCCGCGAGGGACGTCGCCGCGGCGGCGCTCACCGTCGCGCGCTGGCCGCCGGCCACGGACATGCGCGCCATCGACTGGCGCGTCGTCCGCGCCTGGCGCTGCACGTCCGCGAGCTCCTCGCTCTTCCGCTTCGACTCCGCGTCGGCGGACTCGAGGCGCTGCTCCGCCCGCTCGAGGCGCTCCTCCGTCGTCCGCTTCCAGCGCTCGTCGGCCTCCTGGCGCCGGTCCGCCTCGTCCGCGCGCATGTCGAGCTTCGAGCACCGCTTCTCCGACTGGTGGCACCGCGTCTCGAGCATGGCCAGGCGCTTCTCGAGCACGTCCTGGTCCATGCGCAGCGCCGCGACGCGCGCCTTCTCCGCGGCGACGTCGCCCTCGAGGAGCTCGCAGCGCCGCAGCGCCGTCGTCGCGAGCTTCGCGGCCGACCGGAGCGCGCTCTTCACCTGGGGGCCGCGCGGCACGTCGACGCGGACGCTGCCGAGCTGGAGCGCGTCGAGGTCGAGCCCCGCGGCCTGCCGCTCGAAGAGGAGCATGTACTGGAGGCACTCCTGGCCCTCGAGGGCCCGGCCCGACGGCGTCGCCGGCGACTTGGGCGACAGCAACGTCTCGATGGACCGCTGCGACGCCGCCGGCGGCGACGCGGGCCGCGGCGTCGCCGGCGGCGCCTCGTCGAAGACCTCCTCGACGGCCGCGGCGACGACCTCGGAGGCCAGGGCCGACGCCGACGCCTGGCCCTTGAGGGCCGCCATGCCGCAGTGTCACACCGCTAGAAAACGCTGCTAGGCCGACGCCTAGTCCTTGCGGGCTGCCATGCCGCAGTTTCACACGACGCTAAAAACAACTGCAATTGGAACGATAAAAAAACATATCCGGGCACCAATTGGCGGACGACGATGGTAGCCCCTCGGCGGCGCCTCGCCGCGGCCTGCGTCGTCGCGACGGCGGCCGTCGCCCTCGTGCGCCTGGCGGCGCCGGGGGCCGCGTCGGCGGCCGTGGAGCTGCTGGCCCTCAAGGCCGGCGCCCTGGCCGCGGCGCGGCCCGCGCCCGGCGGCCCGAGCGCCGGCGCGGCGACCGCGGCGCGCAAGGACCACCTCGTCGCGACGGGCAAGGCGACGTCGCTGCCCGACGGCGCGAGCGCGTCCCTGTCCCTCGCGGCGGCGGCGGGGAGCCACCTCTGCGTCGAGGCGTCCGTCGACGTGACCTTCCCGCGGAGTAGCGCGCGCGGCCGCAACTACAGCGCCGTCGCCGTCGTCGTCGAGATGCGCTACGAGGCGTCGAACGCCTCCTTCTACAGCGCGCCCGTGACCGCGCCCGTGGCCGGCGCCGCCGCGGCGGCCGTCGTCGACGTCTGCCGACTCCGCGCCGCGAGCCGCCACTATCTGGCCGCGTGGGTCGACTTCGGCGGCGACTGGCGCCGCGTCGCGACGACGATGCACGCGGCGCCGGCCCTGGGCATCGCCGCCTTCGACGGCGTGCCCTTCGCGGCCGTGTCCGGCGCGAGCTCCTTCGGCCTCGTGACGTCGCAGACGATCGTCGAGGACAACGCGACGGGCAACGTGTCCTTCGTGGGCCTCGTCACCGTCGACGCCGACGGCTACGTCGTCTGGTACCACGCCCTCCCGCCCGAGGAGACGGCCTACGTCGTCTTCGACTTCGCGCCGCCGCGCGCGGCGGAGGACGGCGCGGCCGCGCGGTCCGCGTCGCAGGACGTGCTCGTCATGCGCCAGGCGTCGGGCTACAGCGGCGACGGCTGGGTCAACTCGCTGCTCTACCGCGTGGCGGCGACGGGCAACGTTGTCGGCGCCTACGAGAACTCGTGCGCGCGCAGCGACGCGCACTACAACATGTTCAACCACGAGTGCCGGTCCGAGACCGTGGCCCGCGCCGACGGCGCGGTCGTCGGCCGCGCGCTCACGCTCGCCTACTCCGTGCGCAGCGACTTTGGGAACTGGACGACGGCCGCGGCGCTGAACAAGAATTTGGGCGAGACGTTCCGGGCAGGGCAGCACAAGGGTGATTCAACGTCGCTTCAATGTGAATGTTCCGCGCGCGCGCGTTCCGAAAAAAGCATCCACGCTTCGAGAGCGTTCCGAGAGATGATCGCTCGTCCAAAAATCAGCCAAAACGAGTGGAAACCGGCCGAGATATGAGCCTTTGAAGTTGGGCATGTCGCACCCTTTTGCTGCCCAGGTTCCGGGCGAGCTACGGCGACGGCGCCGTGCCCTTCGTCGCGGACAAGGTCGTCGCCTGGGACGACGGCGCGGGCGTCGCGTCCGAGGTCTACGACCTCTTCGACTACTTCAACCCCGTCGACGACGCCTACGCGAGCGAGGCCTACGCGTCCCTCGACGCGGCCTGCCGCGTCGCGGGCGGCAAGGAGGCGGCCGTCGAGTGGTTCCACGCGTCGTCCGTGGGCAAGGCGCCGAACGGCGACTACCTCGTGACGTCGCGGAACCTGGACCTCGTCGTCGCCCTGAGCGCCGACGGCTCGGGCGTGGCCTGGACCGTCGCCGCGGACTCGGCGAGCGTCGGCGCGCGCTACGCGTCGCTGGAGCTCCGCGACGCGTCCGGCGCGCCGTCGGACCGCGCCAAGTTCTACCAGCCCCACGCCGTGTCCATGCCCGCCGACGACCGCCTCCTCCTCGTCGACGACGGCCGCTTCCGCGCGAACTGCTCGTCGGCCGACGAGACGGAGACGTGCTACTCGCGCGCCGTCGAGTACGCGCTCGACTTCGAGGCGGGCACGGCGACGCTCGCCTGGGAGTTCGAGTTCCCCTACGCCGTCGCCGCCGTCGGCGAGCGCGCCGCGGAGCTCGACGACGTCTACAACGTCGCCGGCGGCTCCGTGGTCAAGCGGTCGCCGTCGTCCTACTTCGTCGCCTTCAACTCCGTCGACGACGGCTCGGGCGACGGCCAGCCGACGCTCGCCTTCGACGTCGGCGCCGACGGCGCCTACGTCGCCGAGTACAAGCTGCCCCGCGTCGACCGCGGCTGCGGCTCCTACCGCGCGATGCCGTCGGACTCCGTCAACCTCGAGACGCGCGACCGGCCCTGGTAACGGCGTCGCGTTAGGAGCGGGGCGTTGGCGGCGCGTCCCCGGCGACCTCCCGCGGCCGGCCGCCCTTGGACGCCGCGAAGGCGACGACGCCGGCGACGGCGACGGCGACGCCCGCGGCGTTGAGCGGCGACACGGGCACGCGGAAGACGGCGGCCGTGACGGCGATGACGGCGACGCGGCGGAAGACGTTGAGGACCGCGTGCGTCGTCGTCGCGACGCGCGCGAGGACGAGGAACGACGCGAGGTTGTAGGCCGCGTAGGCGAGGCCGTTGACCGCGAGGCGGCCGAGGAGGACCCCCGGCGCCGCGGCGGGCGCGAGCGCCGCGGCGAGGGCGTCGCGCTCCGCCGCCGCGGCGAGCAGGACGAGGGGCGGGAGGCCGAGGCGCGACACGTCGTGGAAGAGCGCGACGCCGGACGCCGCGGCGCGCGCGGCCGGCGCCTGTGTGGAAATCAACCACTGGTTTGGCACGTCTCCTCCAAACTTTGACATTCTCTATCTCAATCAAATCGAAGTCGATTCAGCTGATTTTTGGACGAATCGATTGCTCTCATCGATTTCTCGAAGCACAGCCGAAGAGTCCGGCGCAATCCGTTCGATTACGCGCACATTGAAGTCGGGTTGAAGATTTGAGTTCCACGCAGGCCGGCGCGTCGCGGCGGAGCTCCTTCGCGAAGACCGCGCGGAGCGAGAAGCAGACCTGGGCAGGAAAAGAGTGATTCAAGTTCGCTTCAACGTGAGTGTTCCGCGCGCGCGCGTTCCGAAAAAATCATCCACGCTTCGAGGCCGTTCCAAGAGATGATCGCTCGTCCAAAAATCAGCCGAAACGAGTGGAAAACGGCCGAGAGAGGAGCCTTTGAAGTGGGGAATTTCGCACTCTTTTCCTGCCCTGAAGCAGACGTTGCAGGCGAGGACCGCGGCGAGGGCGAGGCCCCGGTTCGGCCCGGCGTCGGCGACGCCGCCGCCCGTCGCGAGCGCGACGCCCGCGACGATGGGAACGAGCGTCGCATACGTCGCGATCGATTCCCGGTCGCCGAGGCGGAGCCGCGCGAGGGCCGCGGTGCTCACGGGCTCGAGGGCCTTGACGGTCTCGACGAAGGGCGCCGACGCGAGGCTGAAGGCCGTGTTCGTCAGAGCAAAGCCCACGGTGTAGCTCGCGGCGACGCGCGCGACGGCGCCGACGGCGCGGCCGCCGCCCGCGGCCGCGGGCTTTCGCCGGTCCTCGAGCACGAGCAGGGCCTTCGTGAGGAGCGTCGCCGCGCCGAACTGGCAGGCGCAGAGCACGAAGGGCACGCGCGCGCGCTCCATGCAGAGCTTCGACGTCGTGATGGCGAGGCAGCTCGACCCGTACCAGAGGGCCACGAGCAGCGGCAAAGCGCCGGAGGCCGTCGTCCTCGCCGGCGGCGGCGCCGCGTAGGCGCCGAACTCGAGGTCGGGCATGGACTCGCCGGACCGCGGGCGACGATGCGCCGACGAGCCGCCGGTTAGCATGGACGCATGCCCGCCGGGCGCGGGCGCCGAGAGCATGGGGTCGGCAGTGCCGGGATCTTGTGGCAAACTCGCTAAAATGCAGGCTGAGAAGCACTCGGCACCGCCTCGACGCCAACCCCGCGTGCCTCACCCGCCGCTAGCTTGAAGCGCTCGGCACCGCCTCGACGCAACCTCGACGCGCGCGCCTCACCCGCCGCCAGAAACGCAGCACTCATGCGCACGCCGTTGCTCTTGCTCGTCGTGGCGCGCGCCGCCGCGCTGACCTGCCCGCGGGCTCGCGCGCCGGCCGCCGCGCGGCTGCGCCGGCCCGCGGGCCCCGGCGCGGCCCGCGCCGCCGCGCCGCCGTCGCTGCGCGGCGGCGGCGAGCGCGCCGACGCCGGCGGCGCCCAGAAGCTCGCGGCGCGCGTGCTCGGCTACGTCATCGGCGCGGGCAGCGTGCTCCTCTACGCGCCGATCCTCTACGAAGTAGCGGCGCAGCGGTCCGCGGACGGGCTCGCGCTGTCGACCTTCGCGCTGAGCCTCGCGGGCTACGGCGTCTCCGCGGCCTACAGCTACCAGAAGGGCTTCCCCGCGTCGACGTACGTCGAGACCGTCGCGCTGTCCGCGCAGTCGCTCGCGCTCTGCGTCGTCGTCGCGCTCAGCCGGGGCGCGGGCGCGGCGCCCGTCGCCGCGGCGGCCGCGGCGGCGGCGGCGGCCGTCGTCGCGCTCGCGACGCGGCCCGTGCCGCCGCGGGTCCTCGCGGCGCTCCAGGCCGGCGCGACGGCGCTCATGACCGTGAGCCTGCTGCCGCAGATCGTCCTCAACTTCCAGCGCCGGTCCGGCGGCCAGTGGTCGGCGATCACCGCGGGCCTGTCCGTCGGCGGCAACGCGATCCGCGCGTTCACGACGCTCACGCTCACGAAGGACACGCTGCTCCTCTGCGGCTTCCTCCTGGGCCTCGCGCTCAATGCGACGCTGCTCGGCCAGATCCTGCTCTACGCGTCCTAGTAGTAAAAAAAGACGACTCGGGCCGATAGGGTGCGGCCATAGGGGAGTCGGCGGCGGTGCGCGCTAGAGCTCGTCGAAGTCCGCGCCGGTCGCGCGCGCGTGGTTCGCCTTGGCGACGTTGGCCTTGAGGCGGAACTTGGCGTCGTCGCCGGCGAGGACGGCCGAGTGCTTCTCCATGAACTCGAGGAGCTGGGCGCTGAAGTTCTTGCCCTTCTTCTTCTTCGACGTCTTCTTGGGCGCGAACCGCGCGGGCCGCGCGCCGGCGAGGACGGCGTCGCGGCTCGGCACGAACCAGAAGCCGTCGATGTCCGCCTTGTGGTTCGTGCCCGCGTGCTTGTCGTCGGCCGCGTCGACGAAGCGCGCGCGGTCCATGTCGTTCTCCGGGCCCGCGGCGATGTGCGCGGCGCGGATGCCCGGGATGCCGTCGAGCGCGTCGGCCATCTTCTCGAGGCTCGCCCGCTTCTGGACGCCCTTGGCGTCGAAGAAGTCGACCTGCGCGTGGAGCAGCGTCTCGCCGAGCCAGGGCCCCTCCGGCAGCGCCGCGACGCCCGCGGCCGTCGGCGCCTGGTGCGTCGCGTCGCCGAAGACCGCGGAGCCGACCGTCGAGCCGACGGCCGCGTAGACCTTCGTGTCGACGAACTGGGCCGCCGGCGGCTCGACGCTCCGGAGCCACTGGGCCGCGGTTCCGTCGAGGCAGGCCTGGACCCACGCCGCGAGCTTGTCCTTGAACTCGAAGTCCGTGAGCACCTTGAGCGGGTCCATGGGCAAAAAGTAGTTCTTGCCGAAGAAGTCGAGCGCGTCCGCCTTGAAGCCGACGATGGGCAGCGCCGCGGCCAGGAGCTTCGCCGCGTCCTCCTGGGACCGCTCGAGGTTCAGCTCCGTGCCGTAGTCCGTGAGCGGGCTGGACGCGTGCGTCTCGTGGAGCCGCACCTGGACCCTGCCGCGGAAGTCGTCCGCGACGCCCTCGAGCGCGTCGAAGAACATGGCGCACCGGCTCTTCATGCGCTTCGGGCACGAGTCGCCGATGAAGACGTGGAGCTCGCCCTTGACGCCGCGGTCGCCGATGAACTTGGTGACCGTGAAGTCCTGGCCGCCGGAGTCGGGGTCGTACTTCAAAATCTTGTCCGCGGTGGCCCAGCCGACCCACGCGGTGAGGTTCGTCTCCGCGGCGGCGTCGTTCGCGAGAAAATTCGTCTCGCCCGACGGCGAGTAGGCCGTGAGGCCCAGGGCCGCGTCGGGGGCCAGGTCCACGACCTTGATGAAGTTGATGTCCATGAGGTGCTGGTGCGGCCGGTGCGCCTCGGCCATGCCCTCGAAGAGGTGGCTCAGCACGGACCCGTCCTTGAAGCGCGCGACGACGGTGCGCGACGTCGTCGCGACCTCGAGCGCGTCCTCCTCCTCCATCTCGACGATGACGGGCCGGATCGCCGCGTAGAGCTCGCTCAGATCGCCGCCGTAGAACGGCCGCGGCACGAGCCGCGGCGGCTGGTCCTTCTTGATAACCGCCAAAGGGCACGTGTAGTCGCACTTGGCCCCGAGGCGCCGCGCGAGGTCGCGGTGCACGTCGAAGCCGTCGAGCACGGCGAAGCGCGCGCTCAGGCCCGTGGCCTCGTCCTCGAGCACGCCCGGGAACCGCTCCGCGGCGTCGACGACCGCGTTCGCGTAGAAGTCGCACAAATTGCAGAAGGGCCAGCGCACGTCCGCGAAGACGGCGTCGTAGACGTCCGTCGCCGCCCGCAGCTCCGCCGCCGAGTAGGACTTGACCTTGTCCTCGGAGCCCGCGTACGGCTGGTCGAAGGGCGTCGCGTAGGCCGCGGAGCCCGGGTCGTCGCCGAAGTCGTCCGACGTCTCCGTGAGGCCCCAGTCGTAGCGCAGGTCCAGCGCCTGCTCCTCCCAGGTGAGCCGGTCCCAGAGGTGGCCCGCGTGGAACTTGTCGACCTTGCACGTGACCTGGTCGAGGTAGCCCGCGGTCCGGTCCCGCTTCGCGCACTTGAGCTTTGCGTCGGGCTTGACGTCCTCGCGCGTCACGAAGTCGACGACGACCGTCTCCCACTCCTCGCGCCAGTTCCAGGCCTTGCAGGAGAAGGTGAAGCGGTCCGCGAGGACGTTGACGTGCGTCGTCGCCATGTCGCAGTCCGCCTTGATGGTGACGACGATCTGGTCGTCGTCCTGGCCCCAGACCGTCTTGTTGTCGTTGAAGCGCCCGACGGCGAGCGCCAGCGACAGCGCCAGGGTGACGCGCCGCAGCATGGCGGCGGGCTCTCTCTTGCCACGCGTCGTTGCCGGGCTCTCTTCCGATCGGCCGAGCTTGTGGCAGTGGCTGAGCGTGAACGAAGCAGTTCGGCGAGTTTCGGGTGAAGGCATGGTGAATCTCGATGCTTAAGCCTCAGTGGACCGTGGGCAGGAGCTGCTGCTGGACGTTGTGGACGAGGTGGGAGTCGTCGATCGTGCCGTCGGAGAACTCCGTGAACGCGTGCTGGTCGCCGGCAAAGGTCGGGATGTCCATGGCCTCGTCGTACTCGTCGAAGCAGGACGTGTCGAAGGGGTCGGAGACCTCCGGGTTCCAGGGCGCGGCGACGCGGCGGTTGAGGATCGCGTGGAAGTCGACGCCCGCGAAGTACGCGTGGTCCTTGATGTTCTTCACGCCGCCCTTGAGGTTGCCGAGGCGCTTCTTCCGCGACCGGTTCAGGAGCTCCTTGCAGAGGGACGTCGCCGGCGCGCCGAAGGCCGACGTCTCCTTCCGCGAGAACTCGATGCGGCAGTCCGAGATGAGCTTGAAGATGGCCATCGTGTCGTCCGGGTCCGCGGGGCAGAAGGGCCCGTTGCCCTTGAGCATCTCGAAGACGAGGACCCCGAAGGCCCACAGGTCCACGTCCATGCGGTAGCCCTGGCCGAGCGCGCACTCGGGCGACAGGTACTCGGGCGTGCCGACGATCGTGAACGTCGGCTGCTCGCCCGCGAGGCGCTTCGCGAAGCCAAAGTCGACGACGCGCACGTAGCCCGCCGTGTCGATCAAAATGTTCTCCGGCTTGAGGTCCCGGTAGACCATGTTCTGGCTGTGGACGTACTCCATCGCGAGCAGCGTCGCCGCGGAGTAGAACCGCGTCTCCTCCGCGGGGAAGTCGCCGTCGGGGAAGGTCGTCAGCCGCGAGAAGAGCTCGCCGCCCTGGACGAGCTCGAGGAGGAAGTAGCACGCGTCGCGCGACTGGTACGTCGTGTGGAGCCGCAGGATGAACGGGTGGCGGAGCTGGTTCAGGATCTTCCGCTCGTAGAGCACCGCGTGCGTCTGCTTCATCTCGACCATGGTCTTCTTCACGAGCATCTTGAGCGCGTAGACCTTGGGCTCCCCGAAGGGCGGCGTGTAGGAGCAGAGCTTCACGCGCCCGAACGCGCCCGTGCCGAGCGTCCGCCGCACGTCGAGGTCGTGGAAGTCGGGGTAGTCCTTGCGGTCCGCGCTCGACCGCGAGCTCCGCCGGCTCCCGCCGCTCCCGCTCCGCTTCTTGAGCACGACGGCCGCGTCGAGCTCGTAGCAGACGACGTCCGTCGACGCGTACGCGCGCCAGAAGAGGCTCTGCGCGGCCTTGGTCGCGCGCTCCGCCGGCGACGCGGCGTCCGCGGGCTCGTCGCTCAGCGCCTGCCAGCCCAGCAGGTCGCCCGTGCGCAGGACCCGCCGCCCCAAGAAGAGGCCCGCGAGCTGGCGGAGGCCGGGGGCGCCGCCGCGGACGTCGACGACGCCGCTCGCGACGACGACGACCTTCTTGAGGGACGCGACGTTGGGCGACAGGCAGTCGCCGGCCTTGTAGATCTTGCGCTCGAGCTGCTCGAAGACGTCCGGCTCCCGCAGCGCGGACGCGGCGCCGCGATCGCGCGCGACGCACCTGGGGTCGCGCGAGGAAACGCGTCGACGGACAAAAAGCACGCGCGCGTCGAGAGCGCGCCGAGCGCTGCGCGCTCGTCCAAACTTCTTCAGCGGACACGAGATCGGCGCGTGTTCGAGGTCGGGCGCGTCGCGCGCGCTTTTCGCGGCGCCGCGGCGCGCTTCATCGACATGATGACGCGGAGCGCGAGGCACCGCTCCATGGCCTCGGTCATGGACCCGAGCATGGCGTTGAAGTCCGCGCGGCTCACGACGTAGCACGCCGTGGGCTCGAGCGCGATGACGTCGCACGCGCGCATCTCGTCGCGCAGGAGCGCGCGCTCGCCAAAGTGCGCGCCCTTGCCGAGGTCGACGTAGGCGGGCTTCTCGCCCGCGCGGCTCGTGGACTGGGAGTCGCGCCGGCTCACCTTGCCGATGTTGCTGCAGCGCACGCGGCCCTCGCCTGTGTGGGAAACAACCAGTGGAACGCCCCGTCCAGCACACACTTCAAACCTCTCGAGCTCGGTCACATCGAAGTCGATTCGGCTGATTTTTGGACGGATCGTTTTCTCTCGGAAGGTTTTTTTGAGACAGTCAAAGAAGTACGTCGAAACCGTGCGAATGCATGCATATTGAAGTCGTGTGGCATATGTTTGTTTCCCGCCCGGGGCCTCGCGGATGACGTAGAACTTGTCGCCGAACTCGTCCTTGGCGATGACGCGCGTGCCCGTCTCGAAGTGCTCGAGGGACGTGTGCGTCGCGAGCTTCGTGAGGTGGGGCAACGGCAAATCCTTGAGCAGCTGCGCCTGGCGGAAGTCGCGGACGATCTGGTCGATCGTCGACGCCGTCGTGTTCGCGACGTACTTCCGGAAGAGGCTCCGCTCGAGGCGCCAGCAGACGGCGGACGTGATGGCCGTCACCGTCGCCGCCCGGGGCTGCTCGCGGATCAGCGCGACCTCGCCGAAGGAGCCGCCGCGGCGGAACGTCGTCACGCGGCAGCCGTCGATGACGATGTCGAACTCGCCCTTCTCGATGACGTAGAAGGCGTTGCCCGGCTCGCCCTGGCGGATGAGGTCCTGGCCCGCGCGCACGGACATCTTGTCCATGGCGAGCATGACGTCGACGCGCTGGTCGTGCTCCATGTCCTTGAAGAGCGTCGAGTTCTGCAAAGCTTCCAAAATGATCGCCTGCGCGGACTCCTTCTTCGGGATGACGGTCTTGACGAAGTGCTCGTCGAGGGCCGTCGCGTCGGCGTCGGCGATGGCGTGGGGCCGCGCCGCGCGGTTCTCGCGGCCGTCCTGCGACTTGCGCCGCGACTCGCGGCGGCCGAGCTCGGGCCGCGTCGTCGGCGCGGAGCCGAGGCCCATCTTCTTGAGCGCATTTCGACTAAAGGACCGGCTCAGCGCCTTGAACTCGGACATGGCCTCCGGACCGCGGCGGGCCGGCGGCGGCGGGGGCGCCGCCGCCGGGGGGCCGGGCTCGAGCCGGCCGACCCCTGGCCCGAGGCGGCGCGCGCGGCGGCGCGGACACGAGGCACACCGCGGGCCGCGGCCGGCGGCGGCGCGGCGCGGCGGCGGACGCCGCCGCGACGGCGACGGCCCACCGCCGGGCACCGGTTGGGCCGCACGCCGCGGCGCGAGTGTATGGCCTCTCGTAAGCGCCGGCGGGGCTGCCCCCTGCCAGTCCTCGCAGTTCACTTCACGATGCCAGAAACCGAGGCGGGGCCGGGCGCGCCGGTAACGGCGCAACACTCGGCGCAACGAGTGGCGCAACTCGCGGCGCGCTCGCCGGCCGCGGACGAGTCGCGCGCGCGCGACCGGCGCGACGGCTCGGCGTCCTCCTTACTTGCGCGCGGGCAGCGGCCCCGGGCGCCACCGCGGGGCCGGGGGCAGCCACGGCGGGGGCCACGCGATCACGGGGGCCGCCGCCGGCGCGGGCGGCGGGCGCGGGCGCGGCGAGGCGGCGGCGGGCCCGCGGCGACGCCCAGCGGGTACGGCAGCGGCGGCGCGCCGAGCGGCGCCGCCGCCGCGCGCGCGCGCCGCGCGAGCCGATCGTAGACGACGGCGGCGACGATCTCGCGCGCGCGCGCGCGCTCCGCGGGCGTCACGCCCCGCCGCGGCGCGGCGGCGGCGGACGCCGGCGACGGGGCGCGCGGCGCACCGTCGCCCGCGGCCGCGGCCGCGTGGCGCGCGCACGCCGCGGGCTTGCTCGGCAGCAGCGCGGCGGCGAGCTCGAGCCGCGTCGGCTTCTTGCCGCCGGGGCCGCCCTCCGCGGCGACGCCCGACGCGTCGCAGAGCGCCTCCAGGGCGCCGCGCTTCCGCCCGCTGAGCTGGAACTGGCAGCAGGCCTTCTCGAGCGCCTTGGCCGGCAAAGCGTGCAGCGGCGCCGGCAGGGGCGGCGGCACCGGCGGGGGCGGCGGCGCGTCCCGCGGCGGCGCGGGCGCGGACGGCGCGGGCGCGGCCGGCGCGTCCGCCGGCGGCGCGCTCGCGGGCGGCGGCGCGTCCATTGCCCGCAACGCTCGGGGTCGTACACCGACGCTCGAAGGTGGACTCCGCTGCAACAGCCTGCAAGTTGGCCGCAACTCGAGAGTTGAACTCCAACTTGAAGAGCGTTGATGGTCGAAGCCTTGGTCGCCTGATCAAGGAAGAGCCAAATGTTGACGACATCGCTCCGCATTCGCGGCGCACTCGCTCGACGAAGCGCGCGGTTCAAAGTTAGGTCCCGGCGCCCCCGGCTAGCTAGCGGCCCGCGGCGACGGCGGCCGCGACCGCGGCGGCGCCGGCCCCGAGCGCGAGCGCCCGCGCCGCCCGGGGCCGCGCCGCCGCGAAGCGCGCGGCCGCGAAGCCGACGCGCAGCGCGGCCGTGCCCGCGCGCGACTCCGCGGCGAAGCCGGACGCGAACTCCCGCGCCGCGCCGGCGCCGACGAGCGGCGCGAGGCCCGCGCGCCGCCGCGCGTCGGAGACGCAGGCCAGCGTGAGCCCCCAGAGCGCGAAGGCGTCGGCGTCGGCGCCGGCGCCGGCGTCGCCGGGCGGGGGCAGGCGGACGCACGCGAAGCGGACGCCTTTGAGGCCGACGGCGCGGCCCGCGGCCGCGAGCGTCGGCAGGCGCCGCAAAGGTTGGAACGCCTCCTCGAGCGCGAGCGTGCGCCAGGCGACGTTTTCCGGCGCGACGGCGGCGCAGGGCACCCACCACGCGTGGGCGACCTCTGACGGCTGCGGCGCGAGCGCCGCCGCTCCGGCGTCGCCGACGGCGTCGAAGGCGAAGATGGAGAGCACGAGGGGCCGCGCGCCGTTGACGACGACGCGGTCGTCGGCGACGCGGCCCAGGGGCCGCCACCGGCCCGCGTCGCCGACGTCTAATCCTACCTCCTCGAGGCATTCGCGCGCGGCCGTCGCCTCGTCGTCGGCGTCGCCGGGTTCTCGGCGGCCGCCGGGCAGCGCGACGTTGCCGCTCCAGGGGTCGCCGGCCCGCGACGCGCGCTTGATGAAGAGCGCCTCCTCGGCGCGCGTCGCCGGGTTGACGCGCAGCACGAGGGCGATGGCCGCGCGCCGCCCGCCGGCGGGCGTCGGCACGCGCACGGCGGCCGCCGCGCAGGCGCCGAGGGACGCCGCGAAGCGCGACGCGGCCATGGCGCGACGCCGGGTGTCGGCCGGTGCCGCCGCTGCGGCGGGTCAGGCGCAGCGTGCGACCAGCGGCGGCGCCATCGTTTGCTGCTCTCCACAAGCGCACGCCGGCCGGCCCCGGCGACGTCGGCACCGCCGCGTCGCTGGCCGCGCGGCGCGCCGCCGCCGGGGCCGCCATGCAGACCACGCGCAGAACTGCCGCAAC